GAGTTTAAATTAAATATTATCATGTTTTTAGGGCATGAATCTGAATTGAACAACCTGATAATGCTCACTCTGGTTATTGTTTCCGTTTTTAAAAGCGCTATATGTTGAGCCAGTTTAAATTAAATATTATCATGTTTTTAGGTCATGAATCTGAATTGAACAACCTGATAAGGCTCACTCTGGTTATTGTTTCCGTTTTTAAAAGCGCTATATGTTGAGCCACCTCATATAGTTTTGCCATGTGACATTTTCAACAGCAATCATTGGTCGATTTTCTAACGTTGCCATTCGGGGAGTTGTAATGAGGCTTTTTTTTGGTGCCGTGTAAGAGAAATATATATATAGATATTATATATTTACAGCAGTATTATATCATGTATAATTTTTTGTATCTTAATGTTTAATAAAAATGATTAATTTGCTGATTAAAAACAAATGAGTCTTCTTATGAAAATTAAGTAAATAAATAAAAAGCAATTTTAGTTGCCGTTAGAATGTTTCCTGTCTGTAAAATTTTAAACAGCAAAGCTATTTTTGATTCGGAACATAAAATGAAAAAATAAAAATCTTTATAATTGAACTAAGTTTCCTTCTGTTACCAATGGTGAAAAGTACTTCAATAAAAAATAAGTTATCTGAAGCAGCAAAAACTTATGCTATTGACTAATTCATACTGTAATCATTGAAATTACTTTTTGTCATTATAGTTAATTATATAGCTAAAGAAAGCTTGATAAATGGTTGCTAATGAGGAGGGAAAAAAGGTTAAGGAGGGGAGGACTATTCCTCGAGTTAAATTTTAAAATATTTTGCAATACAAATTACTGAATTTTATTCATAAAAATATCGATATATTTTTTTGTAAACTTATTATCTCATAAAATGCTAAATTGAAAGTGAATAAATATATTTTTATATAAAGAGTTATCATTAACATGATAAGGGAGTTAAAAGTAACTGCAAGTCAATTTATTTTTAAAGGTCCATTTGGAAAAATAAATAAATGTTTATATAAATCTGAAAAGCGTTATTTGACCTTATAATAAAAAAATCAACATTAGAGCATTAAATTTAAAATAATTATGTTAGTAACACATGGGAAAGTGAATAAACACTTCATACATTGTCAAAGCTTTCTTTATTTTCTTAGAACATAGCACACATATTTTTAATTTTTAAAATGGCATCGTTTTCTAAAAATAGACAACCTGGGATGACATTTGTCCCATTTTTGCAAAATCAAGAAGAAATAATTTAATACAATAATTTTAATAACAGAGTGGAGGAAATCCTGGGAAAACATTAAAATGTTTGTCATTTTCAAATATATTGCACTTCTAATAATCAAAGATTAGAGGCATCGGAAATTAATGTCGTTTTGGTGCATTAAATATTCGCTAGTCATAAAAAGCAATTTTTTTTTTCAATCCATTTCGATTCATTTTCGATCTGGCATTGAAAAATTGTTGCTAACGGGGGTAAATACGTTATTAATTAGAAATAAGATCTTGATAAAGATTTTAAGTGCATCGAAATGACATTAATTTGCGGTCCCCCCAATATATTCATTAAGAAACAACCTAAAATAGCGTAACTAGCAAGTCTTAATTAACTAAGTTACAGCGTAATTACCAAAGTATCTAATACGACAGCACTTATTACCACAGTACCATAATTAAGTAAATCTGACTTCAAAAGTAGGATGATTTTTTTCACGAAGTATCAGACTGTATGACGCCTCAATAGTTAAAGATGTTTTAAGACGTTTATAAAAAACAAATAAAAGATTTTAATATATTATATATTAATAGCAAAATATGGATACATGTGAATTTGTTTGAAACATTCAAGAGATTTTTTGGCGATATTTTTATTGTCCTTGTATTTTCTCAATCCACAATGATGAGTGCTTATTTTCAGAAATATGCAGAAGTAGTGCAGAGTGTTTAAATGGAGGGCAATGTTCATCAGATGGACACGAATCCTTCTGCAAATGCATGTCACCTTATACAGGAGATCGATGTGAAATCAATGAAATATGTGAAAGTATGAATGGCGCTTGCGATAGCATTGGAGGAGTTTGTCATTACATTCATTCCATTAAACAAGGATTCTGCATATGCCCTCCAAACAAGATTTTCAAAGAAGATTTAAAAAGATGTGAAGGTAAATAATTGAATAATAACTTTGAGTTTTGTGAAATATATAAAAAAATGTAATTCCCCCTGCATGAAATAAAAATGTAAGAAAATGTTTTCATGAGATTGTATTATACAATATTGAATCTTTTATTTAAGAATTGCTGTCATTTTATAAAATGTTGGCCTTACACAGGGGGGTTGAACTAAATTATGGAAACACACACAACTTCTTTTAGCAGCAAATATTTTGGTAAAACTATAGGCACAATTTAATAGATCATACTCACAACTTTTATAAATGTTGCTTTACCCATGAAAAAAAGTGGATCGACCGAAATAAGGAGAGGAAATGAATAATTTTTTCTAATTTTAATACCAGCGATATCATTCTATAGGATTGCAAATTTTATCTAAGATTTTTTTAATTATACAATGCTAGAAATTTCTTGGTTAAATAACAATTTATTTAATTGTCATTTTAGCTTGTCAAACAAAACAATCAAAAACTATAATTAAAATGGTATTCAATTCGTGAACTGAGAGAAAAACCGTTCATTAACTGCTTCCAACTATTATGGTTAAGCAACCAAAACGTTATCACACCAACTAGACCCACCTAATGAAGCCACTTAGTTTCCTGCAATTGGGTACATATTTTAGCCGAAAGGGCAAATCTGTCAATCTCATGACAACAGAACGCGGTATCGAGTTTCAGCGTTGACACCGCAATATGCATGCAGGATTTCCAGAGTTTTACACTCCCCAATTTGCGAGACTGAACTGTTGGAACACTATTTACATACAATACATATTATCATACGATATCATTAACGCATGGATAATAGCACATTAAAGCTTAACATAAAAAAGTATATTATTTCTCATGTCTTACGATAGGTAAAACAGCCAGAAGAACTAATTTCACCGCCTGCAAGATTCAGTTAATAAAACTGAACCATAACCTAACTTTAATGTCCATTGAATAACAAAATGCCTAACCCCGGTATCCAGTTAAATTTCTTTCTTACGGTTTTGAAACCATGGTAATAGTAAAAAACGCATAAATTTATAGTAATTGTTTTCAAATCAAATTATTCGTAAACTGTTTCAAAATCGCAAAGGTGAAAAATGCTTCTTTAAGTAATGACCCATAAGTTTTACGCTTAATAGGATGAGCAGACAGCTATCGATTATTTTTCAGTAATTTTAGAATGAAAATTCTGTGTAATTGTATTTCAAGATAAATAAAAAGCATTTAAATTCATGCATTCATTTAGATCGATGCAAATTCTGCACGCGTAAAAATGATAACATTTCTAAAATCGTCTAACACGAATTTTCAAATTGTACCAAGGGTTTTACCATTTATAATATTCCAAAACATTTTCGCTTCAAAGAAAGATTGCATGTATAGAGTTTGCTTGAAGTGTTTACACAATTTTCTCCAACTCTTGCTGGCGTATAATTCCAAGTCATCGTTTTGAAAATTAGTCGTTCTTAATGAAAGTATGAAATACGGAAACCAATATACAATTTACCTGGTCATTGTATAGATTGTCTATAATTTTATCATTAGTCATTGTCTAGATTAATAAATTATTTCATACTTTGACAGTCGTATTTAGGACACTCCACACATATAATAGATTATCTATACAATTAATAGGTATGCTCTATAATGAATAAACCATTTATTTTGATTATTTTGTAACGTATAGAAACAAATAAGTTGTTTTTGCTTATTTATTTATGATGCAAATTATAGAAATGTAAAATGGACAGAATTTAAAAAAGCTTCAAGCATAATTTTTAAAATTTTGCCTACAGTTTTGCCATATAAAATCTTTTTAAACATTTCCAGTCTTAAAAGTATTGTTTACGATGATGCAAAAAATATACAAGAATTTTAATAAAATAAAAGATTTGGTTATTATTTCAGGAATTATAAATTTTTAAATTGCAAGTAAAAAGAAAACTATTCATACTGATATATGGTTGGCTAAAATAAAATAAAATATTGGGTTAAGAATATATTAACACTGTATTTAATTTTAAGAAGCATATTAAGATTGCAAATTTCTACGGTTCAAGACAACGTGCTATCAACCTCAAAGCTGAAAGATTTCACGAATTTCTAGCATTTTTTTAGCACTTTTTTTTATTAAGAAATTTATTTGAACCAATTTCTCCTTCCTTTTCAATAACGTGTACATTTCTACTAATTTAACAACTATTTTTTTATTAAGGAGAAATTCGTACATGCATTTTAATGTGAAGAAATTCGGAGAAATGTAATGGAAACTAAATGTAATTTTTTCACTAGTGTGAAGAATTTTATTTTAAGATTTCTTCTGCATGTTGCAAATTCTAAAAATGTCAAATGAAGAATAGGTATTCTATAAAAATGTCTTTATGTGGAACTAATTTCTTCGAAATGTAATATTGTGTAGCATATTGTAGAGAATTGTCATTATTCATTTATTATTCTTACTCAATTTAACTTTTTAACTATTTATTCGTTTCAGATAAATTCGAAGTCACGTCGATATTTTTCATAATTCTGTGCTTATCAACAGTGTTACTTCTATTGTCAATAGTGATCCTAATCATTTTGCTAAAAAAGTAAGTTATAATCATTTTAAAACCCTATATAAAAAATTTTCATAAATAACTAAAAAGAGGATCGATATTTAATTTAAATGAATTTTTCACATTAAATCGCTTGTGATAATTTTTACATAAATTAAATAAAGAAAGTTATATATTATCTATTGATTTAGGAGACTAAACAAAAAAACAACTATGTTTTCTTTAAAGTATTTTATTTATGTATTTTTTTTTTGTTTTTGCATTTTGCAAACTGGGAGTTAAGAATATTAAGTCTCAGAAAGGACATTTCAAAATAAATTTTGAATAATAAGTAAAATTACTCATACTTTTTACTCTGATCACCCAAATCATATATTTTAATACAATTTTATTCTTTATTTTGGGAACTAATTTATGCCTGTTAACTAGAAATTTTTTTTTAACTGAAAACTATCATTATTGAATTAATTTATTACGAAATTATGGGGGAAAAAGTTCTTCTTTCTTTCGATAAAACATTATTTTTAATCTAAACAAACAATTATATATCTTAGAATGTTGATTTATCTTTTTAATTGGTTAATTTTTGACTGAAAATTCAATATTACACTACATAATTAATTTCAAAATTATAATTAATTTTTTAAAAAAAACTTCAGCTGCCTTAAATTTTAATCCTAATATTTTTGTATTTTCAGATTTAGAAAGAAGTTGGAAAGCTTAAATGGCAAGTCACCTTAGAGGACTATGAATATTATGAACTATTTTATATTGGCACTATTTATTGTAAATAAATAACAGTTTTTTAACTAATGTTTAATCTTTCAAATGTCTTACAAATATTTCTTTGAAATCCTTTGCAATACAAACATACCCAACTTAAATTTTATAAAACTGCAAATTACTGCCTTCAGTTAAAAGGATAAATGTAATATAAAGTCTTATAGGCCTTACGGCATGGTGGTTTTATCATTAGAAGAAACCCTTTTTGAGTGTGAAAGTAGCGAGTTTTAATCAAGCAATTACTCAGGGCGCATCTTCGTGACTCGCTTCTCTCACATGGGCTCTATGTTTTTCTACTTATGATACATTTACGTTTTTTTTATTTAATTAAAAAACAACAGTTAAAAATATTATCGTTAAAAAAATTGTATTATTAATTTTGATTTTTATGCCTCTAATATCTTATTGCATCTTATAAAATTATCATATAAATTATTAACTAAGGCTACATTGGTTGATAGTTAAAATATTTAGTTTACTTTGAGATATAAAATTTTTTTTATATTGTCGTATTGCGACGTATAGCTCATCGATGGTATAATTATACCATCGATGAGCTGCTTATTATGGACACAGCTCAAAATGCTTCTTTTATGAAGTGGAAACAGCTCAAAATGCGTCTTTTATGAAATGGACACAGCTCAAAATGCGTCTTTTATGAAATGAACACTGCTCAAAATGCGTCTTTTATGAAATGGACACAGCTCAAAAGGCACCTTTTATGAAATGGACACAGCTCAAAATGCGTCTTTTATGAAATGGACGCAGCTGAAATACTTGTATAAGAAAATGGATACGTCTCGAAATGCTTCACTAAATATGGAGCAGTTCAAAATGCGCGTCTAAGAAAATGGATACGTCTCGAAATGCTTCACTAAATATGGAGCAGTTCAAAATGCGCGTCTAAGAAATTGGACTTAGCATTTGTCCGTTCTTCAAACTTCTTTTATGAAAATTGTTCTCTCTTTAAAAAATAAACTCGTGCTTTCAAAATCAATGATTATGTGATGTTGTCCAGTTGCCTAAATCACTTAGTACTTTTTTTAATTAATATATTTTATAAAGATATTAAAAGTCAATAGTTTAAAATCGTCCATCTCGTGTGGGTTCTATAAACTTAAAATATAGTTATTAAATTGCTGTTGATCGAATTCTAACTTTTCAAAACCACTTAAGCGTTTAATGTTCCAAAAAAGAACCTCCGTAATATCTCCTGCTAAAGTTGACCTTGATGTCCGGAACTTAGTTTCACAATGTGGTTAAAAAGGTACAGAAGAGAAAGTATGAAACTTCCTATTTGATAGAACATTAAAACTTCGCATAAATTTTGAGCTGTGTCTATTTTCTTAAACACGAATTTCATTTTGCGTCGATTTTAAAACACACATTACGAGAAAAAAAAAGCTCATCGTGTAGTGATCTAGTCGACATAAATTAATAATCCATTATAACTACATTAACCTCGAATTTATAGCGTTTTAACGTGGAATCTCTTCTAGCAATAATTTTAAGTTAAGAGAAAAATAAAAGAGAAAACAAGAGAAAATATTATATCACCTTGTTTATATTTTTTCTCAAAATTATACGAAGAAATACGTGCTAAAAAGCTTTTTCTGTGGCATATTATATTAATATATTATTTACATAAATTATATATTAAATATGTAACCAAAATTTATTAAAAATTTTTTATTATTGCTTTTTATTTAAAAATTAATGATTTATTATTATTATTGTTATATGTATATACAGGGTGGTCCCGAATTCATGGTACAAACTTTAATGGTAAGTACAGGACATTGTAACAATGATTTATTGTATAGGAATGTATAGTCGCAAGTGACGCGGTGAGGCGTAAACAGAAGAAATAACGGTGTTGTTGACAAGTGTCATGTTTACAGTAAGTGTTCAAAATTGCGTCCACCAGAAGCGATACATGCTTGACAGCGTCGGTGGAGCGATTGGCGTACACGTTCAAAGATGCCTGGTATTTCACGCACACCTGCAGCAGCTACAGATATGCGAGCGACGAGATCCTCATCTGAGTCAACTGGAGTCTCATAAACAAGATGCTTTAGATGTCCCCATAAAAAGTAATCGAGGCTCGATAAATCGGGAGATCGGGGTGGCCAAGGGATTGGTCCACCACGCCCAATCCATCGAGCACCAAACGTGGCATTCAGGTAATTCCGTACATCAATGCTGAAGTGTGCTGGCGCCCCATCGTGCTGAAACCACATGCGGTTACGAATGGCGATCGGAACATCATGCAGCAGTTGTGGTAACACTTCTTTCAGAAAAATAAGATAGCTTCCGCCACTGAGTCGCGTGGGTAGTAAGTATGGGCCAATCAAAAAGTCGTTCACAATACCAGCCCACACATTAATACAGAAACGTTGTTGAAACGCATGTGGACGCGTTGCATGTGGATTATCGGTTGCCCACACATGGGAATTGTGCGCATTAAAGACACCCTCGCGTGAAAATGTCGCTTCATCTGTAAATAGCACATCACCTACGAAATCCGGCTGCAACGCACATTGCTGCATCACCCACAGGCAGAAGTTCACGNAAATGTCTTCGGATAGTTGATCACTTAAAAATTAATCACTTATGGAACCGAAATCTAGAATAATAATCAAATCTCAGTCAAGTCTCAAGGAACCATAATCTTAGCAGACTTAAAAAAATAGAGCGAATTCCTCTTCTCTCCATAGCAAAAGCCAACCGGACGAACTCGGCAGATGCACTACAAGCATTTGCCGGGACCATCCTATTAGATTTAATAATTAATACAGAAGAAAAATAGTGAATATTTATTTTCATAAAAGCACTGAAGATCCATACATATCATTACCAGACTTCCAACCATTACATCCCGCGGAATAAAAATCCATAAATTTTGACAACAATTTGCCAACAAAAGATGGAATTGAGATATTTATGGACGAATCTATGCAAATTTATAATGGTGAAAACAAAATAGGACGTGCATTCGTAATCTATTTCGATGGTCGTCTTGTAGAGTCTCGCAACTTTGGACTTACAGATTATTCAACAGTTTTCACATCAGAATTATAAGCAATACTTCAATCACTCCACTGGAAACACCAAAATTATATCAATAGTTAAACAAGCATCTATTCTGACTCACACTGCAGTCAATCTTCTGGCCTTTAGCATAAAAAACACGAATCATTACCCAGTTGAAATGATAAAAATACATACATAAATATTACTAAATTCCACAGGATTAAAGCCCATAAAGGATATGAAAGCAATGAAGAAGCTGACACATAGGCCAAATTTGCATGTCAAAAATCAACAATAGATCTATATGACATACCATCAAAACAGACAACGAGAACAGAACTTATGAAGAATAACCTTTCAACACGGCAGCAAAGACGGGATGACAATAATAAGAATGACCGTCTAACTTACCAATTTATCCCAAAAGTCAATAATCGAAAATTCTATTCCAACTTCTATATTAATCAATTTCTAACTAACCATGGAGCCCACGGTATTTATCAGCCAAAAATATTTGGAAAAGACCCGAACTGTAATGTTTGCAACAGTTATTAAGATATTCAACACATACTTACTGTCTGCCTGGTTAATAATGATTTAAGAACTTTACTATTAAACGAAACAGGAAACAAAAAAAATAAACAAAGGCAGTGAGGAGATCTTTATTAAGACTTTTTGAAAAAGGCTTTGAGGATTTGGCCTAAACTCATCCTACACTTATGGTCACTTTCGCAATTCATCCGTTTTAAAGTCATCCGTCTCTGATATGCATTATCGGAATCTTTTTCACAGCAACGCCATTGGGAAGCCGGATGGGGATTCTCTTCCCTGGGATTTCCTGGATTCACAGCTGATCATACATGCTACGTAAATGAAACGAACAGAATCTCTGTGACTTTCCATTTTTCCCTTTAGGAAACATGAGTTAGTAGTGTACCAGTGAAATAAGATACTGTGAAACGATGATACATGAAACAGTGAAATGGGTAAAAATTTAATTGGTAACTGTTCAATCATATGAAACACATAAAACTGTCTTATTTCTAGTAAAAACTAAACTTTTGACTATTTTACAACTCCTTCCAACTGAAATGTTAGCTTTGAATAGACTTTTTGTTTTTCCCCTATATTATGCTGTATACCTGCAAAGACAATGATGTATTCATCTGTTTTCTCATCTCTTATCTTGTTAATATTTTATGTTGTATTCTAATTGGTTTAAAAACTCTGTCTGTCTTAGATAGTGTTAACATCGTTTTAAATTTTTATTTGATTTGATTTTTATTTTAAGTAAAAATCTGATATAATTTATGTTAGTTTGCACATCCTATTCTCATAATTAACCTTTGCAGCATTCTGGTCGGAGAGAGAACCAATGGATGGCAGTTGCTGCTATGCTCGCACAGCACCTGGACATCAATTCCTGGAATAATAAATTTTAACCTACTCGTTCATTCCAGCCTCAGGGATCCCCTTGAACCAAATCACAGGTCAGCCCATCGACCTACTGTGTTGCCATTTTTCGTGATCCAGCCTTTTCTTCTTGATGTGCTGAGCTACCGCTTAATGTTCGACTTCGCGCGCGGGTTCCCGGGCTACCAAAGTGGGGGGAGCCATCCAAGAAGATCAAAATTGTGAGGGCATGTCTTCGGATCATTCTCAGGAATGTTTGTCTATTATGCAGCTATAGCATGGCGTAAATTAAGTAATACTACTACACTCCTCGGAAGATCTTATTTTCTTATTATTAAACTTTGCAAGATCAATTTGCTTTTTTAAATTTTTAATTATGCAATTATTAACGGAGAAAAGCATAAGATCTTTATATGTTTATCAAGTGCAAGAAGGTTCAAAGTTCATTCAAAAACAAGTAGACAGCAAATCATTTTAGAAAGTCTCAAGTTGTCTCAGTTGTCGGGCAATGAGTTTAGAAAGTTTTTGGCAACAGATTAACCGGTTAACGCCCAGCGTCATATATTTAGGACATTTCCTT